CTTATTTTTTTTTAAATGGAATGACCCAACTTTTTTTCCAATTTTAGGTACTCTATGGTCACTAGTGCATACCCACAAAATATTGTTTCTAACATCCTACCCCTTTCGCAGAAAAAGAATAAATACCAAAAAATATTACATTTTCAGACGCCTATTAAAATATGCAGTGCTCTCTCGAATTTGACGTTAGAATTTAAAAAACTACAAATGTATAAAGCCAATAGACCAAAGATCTTTTTTGACCAAGTTTTAATTTTTTATTTTGTACAGGGTGGTCACAAATTAATTTCAATTTCCAAAAATTTCTAGAACATTTTTTTAAAATTTTTCAAATAGAACACCCTGTATTACTATTCATCGATGAAACGAGAATTTTATACCCTTCGACTTCCCCATGTACTTTCCTATACCTATCTGTCGTCGTTTAAAAGTAAATTCCAAAAAGACATTGATGTATCAAAAATCCAATTTCTACCAGTGGTTTTATTGAAAGTGAACATTCAATCAAGTAGGCTGGGTCTTAATGAAGTGTCAGATTATTTATTAATGAAGTGTCAAGTTATTTTTACTGATCGCGATAATTCTTCTATTAATAATGAATTTTACGAAAAACGAATTAATTGACATGGTCTATGTTTTGGGAGAATCCGACAGAAATTGTTTATTGGCAAAAAGAATTTATCATCAACGATATCCCGATAGACGCATCCCTGATCAAAAAAGTTTTGAAAAGTTACAGGAAACAGGAATTGTTGCTTATAAAAAACCAATAATTGACAAACGTGCTACTGATAATGATAACCAATTATCTGTAATTTTGACAGCGATAGAAGATCCTCATGTAAGTCAAAAAAAGATTGCCGAAGTAGTAGGTATAAGTAGAACATCCGTTAGAAGGATTTTAAAACAGCATCAATATCATCCTTATAAAATACAATTGCATCAAGAGCTGAAAGACACCGATTTTGATAATAGAATGGTGTTTTGTAACTGGGCACAAACTAAACTGCAACAAAATCCATTTTTTTTTGATAGAGTGCTGTTTTCTGATGAATCTACATTCCACAAGAACGGATTCGTTAATAGACATAATTTCCACTATTATTCCACGGAAAATCCTAACATCATCAGAACACATAGCCAAGAAAGATGAAGTGTAAATGTTTGGGGAGGTATAATTGGGGATCATGTTATTGGGCCGTATTTTTTTGAAGGCAACTTAAATGGTCTGATGTATTTAGATTTTTTAGCAAATCATCTTCCTACTTTACTTGAAAACATTTCCCTTGCTGTAAGACTAACAATGTGGTACCAACATGATGGGGCAGCAGCGCATTTTTTACGCGAAGTGGCAGATGAATTAGATGAAAAGTTTCCAAATAGATGGATTGGTAGAAATGGTCCAAAAAAATGGCCAGCTCGATCACCTGACTTAACAAAACCCGATTATTTTTTGTGGGGTTATATTAAAAATTTAGTCTATCTTACGCCACCTACAACACCTGAAAATATGAAAGAAAGGATAGTGCAAGCTTTCCATTCCATTACACCTGATATGCATAGAAACGTTTCTCGATCATTCGCCCAACGAATAAATGTATGCATTAGAGAAAATGGTAGACATTTTGAGCATCTTTTATAAAATGTAAATTTATGTTTTAGGATAAATTTCAAATAAATTTTGTTATCGCAATTTTCTTCCTTTTGAATTTATTTTATAACGGCGACAGATAGGTATAGGAAAGTACATAGGGAAGTGGAAGGGTATGAAATTCACCTTCAGTTGATGAATAGATATACAGGGTAATACATTTGAAAAATTTTAAAAAATTTCCCTCGAAATTTTTGGAAAGTGAAATTAATTTGTGACCACCCTGTACAAAATAAAAAATTCAAACTTGGTCCAAAAAAATGTTTGGTCTATTGGCTGTATACAATCGTAGTTTTTTAAATTATAACATCAAATTCGAGAGAGCACTGCATATTTTAATAGGCGTCTGAAAATGTAATATTTTTTGGTAATTTTTTTTTTCTGCGAAAGGGGTGGGATGTTAGAAATAATATTTTGTGGGTATGTACTAGTGACCATAGACATTGAGTAAACGAATATATATATATATATATATATATATATATATATATATATATATATATATATATATATATATTTTATTTGGTGTCGTCGGCATCGACTGCTAAGGTCATTAGCCTCGTGTTCTGTGTAGGCTTTGTAACTGTTTCCCAGCGCCACTTTAGGAACAGCACTGTTAATTAGTACCCAACAGTGAATGGTCGAGTAATTGTTTGTAAGTAAGAAATTGTGCCATATTGACGGAGTGACTACACAAATTATTTTTCCTAATTTATATTCAAATCATAAATCACGAAATTTAAAGAAAAATGCCGTTTAAATTCAAATCCCGTTTCCAATATTCCATAATGGACCACTTACTTCAACTTCCAATTTAAATATAATTATGTAAAAAAAAATCTTCTAGATACTCCATTAACCTACCTCCTTAATAAGCAAATCGCGTCAAATGAACACTTCCGCCAAAAGCTTCTTTTATTTCCACCCTTCAATTAGGATCAAAGCCCAAGACAAAGAAGGTTAATAGTTAGGGAATTATCCGGTCACATTAAAGTGTAAATGGGGGAATGTAAGGAGACCAAAGCGAAGGGACACAAGGCAGTTGGGTAGAGATTGCTAATTTTCCTAAAAAGTGGTTCAGCATTAATTCAATTTTCTAAGAACATTTTTTGTTAGGTAAAATACTTTTATCTATTAAACAAGGCGAAAGAGTTGTTATACTTTATTAACAAGTTTGAATCTGTAATTGTATAATTTTATTTACTATTGTACGGGAAATAACTACAAGTTCCCTGAATTTATTTAGAATCTAAGATCCCTTGAAAAACAAAATTTTTATAATATTGAAGATAATAACAACTGAATTGCGTTTTATGTTCATTTTTTGTATAAAAGCGGATGATGGAAATCTATCCAACATATTTCACTGATACATCAGGCCAGCCCTGCATTAAGATAATTTAGAAGTTCAGAGAATAATATTTTGCTATATTATATCCATCTCTCTCGCATACATAATTTATAAACAGTTTGAATTCAATGCAGTCTATAACATAATATTATTCCACTTTAGATAGGTCACATTACTAAATTTAGAGATTGATTGCTGAAAGGGATACGAATAAAAAGCAAAAATGGCACCAGCCAGACAGAATCGTCAGCTCTTCTCACACAAAACTTGCTCTTGTCGGCATTTTCTTTAAGTTACTCATGACTGAATAATTTCTGGACAAAACTTGTGAAAGTTACTCCAATTATTTAAGATATGATTTTGTAATATTTAGTTGTTAATCTTAAAAAGATTTAAAATTTATATACTCTGAAAAGTAATGTGTGAAGTTCAAACCACAAATAAATCTACTCTTCAGTAAATTGAGACAGCTGGGATGATAATTATTGGAACCAACACACAGATAATTCTTGAACTATGTATACACTCTACCATGTTTTTGACGCCAGTGCCGTATCTTTATTATTATTATTACAATATGGGCAGAGGACGGTGTCCTATTATGCCCAGTAAAAAAAGAGCAAATTAATTATCGTATGGTTAAAACTATTAAATCAAGAAATGATTTTAAAATAAATATAAAGACTAAATACAAGTATAGTTCCAAAATTAAATCCGAAAATGAGGTACATGCCAATGTAAGTTCGAACATTGTTCAGGTGGTAAATCCAAAAATATATCATAATTATGAATTGTGAAAAATATTCCTGTCTATATTGTATTTGTAAATATCGATACTTTGGGAATCTATAATTTCTTGGGGCAAGTTGTTCCAGACTTCGAAGATTCTGTTACTCAGAAAATATTGTCGCGTTATTGTTTTAGCGAATGTCCACGAAGTTGGGCGTTAGTATTTAGAGGAAAAGCTTGATTAAGGTCGCCAAAGTTATTCGAAACGACAAAGTTAGGTCACTGCGGAATGTTATAAGATTTCCCATTTCTAACCTTTCCTCGTATGATGATCTAATGCGGTCAAAGGTAAGCCGGGTGGCGCGGTGTTGAACACATTTCAGAATTTGTTGGTCGCGTACAACACCGGTACCACACCGGTCCTGCGTATTCTAGGATAGGACGGACGTAGCATTTATAAAGTCTGCACAACGTTTTAAATGACACTTTTGAAAATGTTTTTTGAATTAGGAATAATCTGGAGTTTGCGCGTTTGCACACATTAGCGATATGATCACTCCACGATAAATTAGAATTCACTGTAACACCTAGATCGTTGTACGAGGACACTCTTTTTAATGCATGCATGTTGATTGAATAAGGCAAGTACTTTATTTTTGATTTGGGTTTCAGTAAAAAATATATTTCCAAGTGAAGCTGAATTACGTGTAGTGATAATATGAGGCAGTACATCATTGTTTGGTGGCTTGATAGTGTAGGTATTGGAAAAACAGAGCGATAAGATCCCAGCTGTTTCGAAATTGGAGAAGCATAAACTTCCATCAGTCATTTGAAGAAAAGAAGTGGCCACTTTGGATGAGTGTTAGTGATTGATTCTTCGTAAGATTGTCTCGTAGAAGACAGTTGCCGCTTGAGAAGAGGATAAGCCTTTTTTTGAATGTTCATAAACTCAAATATCGCTAAAAAAATATTTGTTACATTTGTTATGTCTTTAGTTACATATTTCCAAACGATTGTTGACCTTATTTCCGACAAAAAATTTAAAATTTTGTATATCACGATTAGAAGATAAGTTAAATATTACGTATTCTCAAAAACTTTTTTTAGGTGATATGTCCCCTTCCAGTCCCAAGGTCTTCAATTTCACTCATTTTTTTATTAATTAGAATTCTTTAATTTTAGTATAATTTTTAATTTTGCGGAAGGCCACCGAAGCTGAAAGGACAACAGGGCTAAAAATAAAATATACAGCATTAATTAAATCACACCCTTTATTTGTATTTATTTAATCAATTAATTCTTGGAGATTTCAATGACTTCAAAAAAGGCGTCCGAGTTGTATATCAAGGCGTTGTCCGTGAAGTAAGAATACTCAATTTTTCCTCTCCAAACTGGAATAAAAGGAGCTCGAACAAAGGTCTCATTAACGTTGTAAACATAATACTTCCCCTGAAATTAATGATAAAAGGAAATATTTAGAATTTAATGAATAATTTAATAAAGTTTGACATTAAAGTTAACGAAGTTTACGGTGTGTTGTTTTGTTTGGAGTATTAATAAAGACTTGTACTTTATTTGATGCAATAATTGTTTATTGACGACCATTCGCCAATTTTATAAGCTTGTATAATAGAGATATTAGATCGGATATATGTTCAATGAACTAATAATTATATTAGTATGACCATTATGTATGAGAAAAGAGTTTACGATACGAGCCGAAGGCAAGTGTTCTCAATCATTTGACTGAATAATAGAGCCTTTAATGATTAATTAAATTGAGTTTTTTATTTTCAAAATTCAAATATTGCACATACATATAAATTTAATCAGAATAACAAAGCTGTTCTGGAATGAGCTGTTCTAGTTTGTAGATGTTCACGCTGAAATTGCACGTTTTTATAATGACTACGGAAGTGCCCGATTGGGCACAGAAACGAACATAGTCGTACTAGTCGACAAAGCAAAAGATTCGCGCATGTGAAAATACCGTTGTATCCGGCACGGATTTGGTTTACAGTGTTTCCATAATATCGTCGGCCTAAAGACGGTTATCCACTAAACGGACAGTTGAGTTTGTGCTTTGTTTGTGTTTTATAGAATTTGAAAAACAAAAACAAAACTGAGACAAACCCAAAGCTCTTGTTTCCATCTAGCGGACTATATTTTGTCAGTTTTGTTTTTGTTTTCGGTCCTTTTCCACTGATTGTTGCGAGGAAATCAGAATATATTTTTTCAATATTTTATTTTTATTTATATACCTATTTATTTTTTAAGATAGGTCCAAATAGAAAATACATATAAAAGTAGTTTAAAAGACGTATGTGACATCAAAAAAACTTAAAAAAGACAATATTTGGAGTTAACCTAGTCTGGCTCTGACAATCATATATATTCTACTAATAAATTTATCCAGTGTTATAAATTACTTATTACTAAAGTGAGGCATTTATGAAATTTTTATATTTGGCATATTTTTCATATATGAAATATTTCCGAAAGTATCCAAATTTTGATAGTGTAAAAGCAAGTTGGTGGTTCGAGCCCCCTAGAAAAAAAAGAAAAAATATTATTGTTTTATTATTTCACAAACTTGGTAATTTAAAATGTTTAGTTTTTAAAACGTATATACTTATTCAATGCATAGTGGCGTATAACGAGGTTTATTCATTTTTATGTTGGCCGGCAATTAAATCCCGGAAAAAGTGTCTGCCTTTTTGGAATTAATTTTTTTATATTTAATTAAGACGCTAATAAAATTTCAGCGTGAATCAAACACTTCAAATCATATTTTAAAAAAATCAACTTTGGGGTTGATTTATTAATTATAAATAGTCTCAAAAGTATCTGCCTAAATTACTAGTATTTTTAGAATTACCTAAACTTTCAATTGTTGTTTGTTGGCCTCTGAATCAAACACTTTTTTTGGGTCATATTTTACGACCCCTCTCTATTATGCGCAGTACCTGGTGTCCCGGGGTGGGTCTAGCCAACACAGGTATATCTGCTTTTCCATCCAAATTATTTCAAATTACAAAATTTCAAAGTGCATCAAACACTTAATGGAATGTGTGTTACTAGCTCTTGGATTACTAGGGTTGCCACCTTTTTAAAAAGTGAATAAAGAACTACGATACTGACAAGGACTCCGGTGTACAGAAAGTCCTTATTCTTCTACTGAACTTCAAATAAAATTAACCTCTTCCAGTCTGAGAATTTCACTAAATACCACTGTGTCAGAATGCCTGTGACTAGGCGCAGATTCTGTCTAGTCATAGGCAAGTATGTGTTTGCTATAGTGTTTGCTGCAGTGTTTGCTGCAGTGTTTTCAGGATAACTTAAAAGCTCCCTGCCAACTCTGCAGATTCCTGTTTCATCCCATCTTTCTTTGAATTTCACAAGGGAATGTTCTTTAATTAGATCTGTCACTACCGATTTTTTCAGACTAATAGAAGTCAGGTTCAAAAGTATTTGGCTGGCTGCTTTCTTGGCCAGTGAATCAGCAAGACGGCTACCTTTCGATGTGGTGTGACCTTTGATCCATCTTAAGGTGACCACATTGTTGATGGATACCTCGGCCAAAGCTTTGTGAAATAAAATTAACCTCTTCCAGTCTGAGAGTTTCACTAAATACCACTGTGTCAGCATGCCTGTGACTAGGCGCAGATTCTGTCTAGTCATAGGCAAGTATGTGTTTGCTGCAGTATTTTCTGCAGTGTTTGCTGCAGTGTTTGCTGCAGTGTTTTCAGGATAACTTAAAAGCTCCCTGGCAACTCTGCAGATTCCTATTTCATCCCATCTTTCTTTGAATTTCACAAGGGAATGTTCTTTAATTAGGTCTGTCACTACCGATTTTGTCAGACTAATAGAAGGGTCAGGTTCAAAAGTATTTGGCTGGCTGCTTTCTTGGCCAGTGAATCAGCAAGTCGGCTACCTTTCGATGTGGCGTGACCTTTGATCCATCTTAAGGTAACCACATTGTTGATGGATACCTCGGCCAAAGCTTTATGACATTCTAGTACTAACCCTGAGTAAATTCGTGGTCTGTTCAGGGTGAGTAGTGTTTGTCTGCTATCTGTATAGATGAGCATATTCCTTCCAGTGATATTGTTTCTGGTTATTTCTTTTGCTGCTATGAGAATCCTCGTGAGCTCATATTATAACTTTATATGGTGCAAGTATACTATATTTATTGGGAAAGGAATATCTAAATTGGTTAGAATAGGATTCGCAACTGATGACTGGTTTGGTTGCGTTATATTATCCAATTAAATAAATATTTTTTTCTTTTAATGAAAGAAACATGGTGATTTATTTATAAGTAAAACATTTAACATACGTATAGTTTTTGTTAAATATTGTTTGCAAATCATGTAAAAATAGTATGTAATTAAATTATTTTTTAATGTTTAAATAAAAACGATCTTGAAAATAATAGAAATGAAATTTTAACGAATGAATATGTATTTATTTTTATAAGTCTAATGTCACTTTAATTTTCAGTTGAACGTAAATTACGTCATCACTAATAAAGCGTATACAAAATCCAATTTTCGATACAGCAATTATTAAGTTTATTTATAGAAATTAAAATAGCTGTGTCAGAAAATAATTACTTGTTTTGAAAATGAAGTCAGCTTCCTGGAAAACAGTACCAAATATAGAGTTATTTTTATCACACAATTTCAATACAAATTAATTAATACTAAGACTGCATTTCTCTACAAAATATAAATTACTTTGTTTTTAGAATTAAAGGATAATAATAATAATAATAATTAACACAATTATAAGTTTTATTTCGACGCTTCTACAACAATTTTAACAAGATCTGCAGGTAAAATAATATTGTTTTTAATATCATCATCTCAAATCTAAAACTCGTGGGATGGAAAGCTCAGATTTTGTTTTTGTTCAATTTTGTTTTCATTTTATTCCCTAACAATTAAAATTTAACTTATTCATGTTTTAATTTTACATATTAACTGTTGTAATATTTTCTAAATTTGGTTAGTAAAGTTCGTCTAATGTTAATTGTATGAATGTACTTTTAACCAAATTTATTATAAAAAACTACTAGATTACTAGCACTCTGTAACGCCTTTGTCGGGTAATTATAATAGTAAAAATGATACTCATGTCTGACTATCAAAAACTATCATATATTACTTTTTTAATCAATTGAAAACCATAACAACATGAAATTATTACTCACAGGGTGTCATAAAATATAAACATAATTACAATAAATAATAATTTTTACATTCTTCCCCCGAAATAAAAAAAAAACTATTTTTCTAAGGTGGCGATCTTGCATAGCTTATTCACTGGCCGACGGAATATACCAGTAGCAGTTTGGACCTCAGCTACCCTTACTACCCCGTCCTTTCCAGGGAAAGTCTTGGAAATCTTTCTTTTGAGCCAAGTGTTTCGAGGAGCATTGTTGTCTGCGATAACCACAGTATCTCCAACGTCTATATTTTGGATATGCTGGAACCATTTTTGGCGTCTGTTTAGTGGTATTCTTTCACCCAACGTTGCCAAAATCTGTCTACTAAGCCATTGTTTTCTTAAATCTAGATTTTCGATCTCTATAATTGGTGCCCCGCAATTCTTACCAATTAAGAAATGGTTTGAAGTCACACATGCAGGTTCATCAGGGTCTGTGGGTACATAACTGGTATATGCCATCGGCCAGTGAATAAGTTATGCTAGATCGCCACCAGAGAATAATTGTTTTCTTGGACTATATGACTTGTAATATGAAAGTTGTTAATATCTAAATGATGTTTATGTGACAAAGTCCCATGTATTACCCACCCCAACACGTTCTTTGACAGAGCAGGTCCATCCCAAGATTTATACGCCACTTCTAGGCTAATAATGAAAGGCCAATTATTATCCTGACCAATGAGGATGGTAGGCTGAGCATTTGTTTAAACTTTGTACGTCAAAGTTTTCTAAAAATTTATAATATCTTTTTAAGTTTTGTACATCTACAGATTGAGTTGGGAGATTTAAATTTTTTACTGTTCTAGCATTATTTATAGGGTATAATTTTTCATTTATACCTGTCAGGCAATTATAATAGTAAAAATGATACTCGCGTCTGACTATCAAACACTATCATATATTACTTTTATAATTGCCCGACAAAGGCGTTACATTGAAATCTTGTGCCAATTGCCATTGTTTTCTTAAATCTAGATTTTCGATGTCTAGAACTGGTGCTCCGCAATTCTTACTTATTAAGAAATGGTTTGGAGTCAAACATGCAAGTTCATCAGGGTCTGTGGGTACATATGTGAGAGGTCTACTGTTGATGCTAAACTCGATTTCACATAAAAGGGTCAAGAGGATTTCTTCTTTGGAAACTGCTTCTTTCAAAATGATTTTTAATTTTGTTTTACTGTTCAAATGAATCTTTCCCAGGCTCCAGGAAAATTTGG